GTCTCGGATAATGGGAGATGCACAAGCTAAATCATGAGGTCTGGGCGCCGCCGTGAAGCAGTGTCGGGACCTGTTTGTTTGTCGACCCTGACCCTACGGATCTGCGTCACGGGTGCCACCGAATTTCAGAAATGTAGCAAATCTTTTGTGTTTGTGGATCCTGACCCTACGGATCTGCGTGAGGGGTGCCGCCGAATTTCAGACATGTGGCAAATCCCTTGTGCTTTTTGACCCTGACCCTGCCGATCTGTGTGAGGGGTGCCGCCGAAATTTAGAAATGTAGAAAATCCCCTGTGCTTTTGGATCCTGACCCTGCCGATCTTCGTGAGGGGTGCCACCGAGTTTCAGAAATGTGGCAAATCCCATGTGTTTTTGGACCCTGACCCCGCCGATCTGCGTGATTCCTGTTAATTTTTATCCACCCCAGCAATTCAGACAACACGCTCAGGGCGTGGTAAAAATGCTCGTTTTGGGCCTCCCCCCCTCGCGCGGTCCATCAACAAGGAACAGTAAGTAGCAAGAAGTCCACAAGGAACAGTGAGCAGCAAGAAACGGAACTGTAACAGTGGAAACTGGAAGCTGCAACTGGTACAGGAAACTGCGAAGCTTCGGTCTACAGCCTGGTGGCCCCACAAGGGGGTCGGTGGATATATTTACATATTGTTTTTTCTTATAATAATCGTAATGTTAATCATACTTATTATTATGTAGGTATCAGAGTTGGTTGTGCTTTGCGTTTTTCGAGAGTTTTTTGTTTCAAGTGTCATGCGTTGGAACGGTTCAAACCGAGGCTGCCAAATCATGGGGGCTGCTGGGGCCCCGCTCCCATTAGTACACCAATATACATTATGCCGTCAACGGGCACCAGATCGAGGGCCTCGAGAGGTTGCCCACAGCACGGGGGCGATTGCTGCCCTGCGGATGGAGGCGGTCCAGGAGCTCGACGAGTGCCGTGCGCGCCTCCTTGATGCCAAGCCTCTTCCGGTTCAGGTCCGGCGCGTCACGCAGCAGATCGTGGCTGTTGAGTAGAGGAGTATGGCCAAGGAGAAGAAGCTCGATGGCCTCGATCAGCAGATCGAGGAGCTCCAGAAGCGACGCACCGAGGCGGCGCAGGAGCTGGCGACCATCCAAGTGGAGTTGGTGTCTGCCAACTTCCCTCAGCCGACGACGGTTGTCGAAGGCACACCCGCTTCGCTCGACTCAGTGCTGCCGTCAGTCCGCATGTCGCTGGTGCAGCTCGAGAAGGTGGTCAGCAGCTTCGGAGCCGACGTTGGGCTGGCGCGCGAGCTCGCCTCGGTCGTGGGGCGGGTCCGCGAGGCTGTCGTCCAGGCCCAGGCAGCTGCCGAGGCAGGCGGCGGTGCGGCGGCTGCAGAGCCTGCGCGCAGCGCCGGGTGGATCCCCACGGGCGTCGACGATCCGTGGGTGCTCAGGGGGTTCCTGGAGGCCATGGGCTTGGGCGTGCCCGAGGACGAGGAGGAGCTCAGGACGGCGGTCAAGCGGCTGGGCGAGCGGCTGTCGTCTTTTGCCAAGCGGCCTCGCACCTCTCCTTTCTAGAGTGCTGCTGCTGCTGGCCTGTGTCAGCGGTGGAGGCAGCCGCGCGAGTGCTGGTGCGGGGGAGGGCTGGTCCCTGCGCCTTGAGGCTCCATGCAAGCTGCCTGGGGCTTCTGGCCAGGGTCTTCTTCCTCCTGGAGCTGCAGATCCTGCTGCTTCACCTGGGCGCAACGGCTCTCGCAGGCGGTCGCATACGCCGACGGCTGGGTCTTCCCTTTGCGAACTTGAAGAGGATAGCGCGACTGGAGGCGGGCCGGAACAGCCTTTCCGGAGCGCGCTGCGCGCGGACTCATGCGGCTTCCAGCTGGAGCGCGAATGCCGCAAGTCGAGGGCCTGCTCACCTCGACCAACGTCTCGTCGTACGGGGCCCTGGAGAGCCTTGTGGCGCAGACTCCTTCACCTCCAAGGTCGTGCTGGTCCAGGAGCACCACGCTGTCTCGGACAAGGCCCCCGCCCTCCAGCAGAGGGCGCAGATCTTTGGGTACCACGGGGTCTGGGAGCATGCGCCGCAGTCGCAGGCAGGTGGCACTCATGGAGGCTGCGCGGTGCTGGCGCAGTCGGGAATCTTGCTGGGCGCGTGCGCTGGGGAGTGGCGGGCGGCATCATATTTATGACGCTCTACCTGCGCGAGTCCGTTGGCCTCGATTCCGCAAGCCTGAGTATCATGCGCGAGGTCGGCTATTTCCTGCTGGACATGGCGAGCCAGGGCTGCACATGGGTTGTGGGAGGCGATTTCAATATGGAGCCACCCACGCCCAGGCCGTGGTTCGACTCCCTGAGAGGAGTCTTGGTGGCGGGGCAGGTCACCGCGTGCAGGCGGGCGCTCCCTGGCCACAACTTCGACTATTCCGGAGTGGATGCTGGCCTGCTGATCGCACGGGCTCGGCATGGGTCGATGAAACGGCGGTGATTTTCCCGCCCTGGATGCGCTGGGGGGCGGATCGGCCACTCTGGTGCCGAGTGGCTCGGGGGCCCTGCTCTCGAGGCCAGGGCCCCGCCCGGACGCAGCCGCTCCCCTGCGCGCTGGGAGCCCGCGCAGGCCCAGATCGAGGAGGCGTCGTGCTGGCCAGGCATGCGGACCCGGTATTCAGCGCGGTCTCGGTTTTTGTGCGAGACGCGCGTGACCCAGGGTTCCGTTTGCAAACTTCCAAGTCTGGTTTCTTGGCTTCGTTTCTCTAGGCCTCCTAGGTGGGGTCGGAGTAGGTGGGGTCGGAGGATGGCGCCGCATCGCCGATGCATCGCCGATGCGGTTCGATGCAGAGCCCGATTTTCTTCACGCGGACGTCGCCGATGCATCGCCGACGTCGCCGATGCATCGCCAGTGCATCGCCGATGCATCGGCGATGCATCGCCGATGTATCGCCGATTCGGCGCGATCCTCCGACCCAATCTATTGCGACCCCATCTGGGAGGCCTCTAGTTTCGGGAGGCTGCGCGGGCGGTCGAGGAGCGAGCTGCGATGTGTAAGCTGTTTGCGTTCCGTTCTACACGCAACCTGGGGCGTGATTCGTTTGCGGGTGGCACCGCCCGCAGAGCCCTGGAGAGAAAACGTTTGAGTGTGGTCTTGGGGCGCCGTGTTAAGCTTCGTGCCCTGAGGCGGGCGGGGGGTTGAAGGTTCGGGCTCTGTGGCGGACCGGCGTCGTGCCGTCAGGTGACCATGAAGTTGGGGTCATCGTCCTCACCAATGCCACCCTCATGAAGCTTCGGACGTTTGCCGGCGAGCTTGTAGGCGCGCGCAAAGGCTTCTCCTCCTCCTCCTCCTCCTCCTCCTCGTCCTCCTCCTCCTCCTCCTTCTCCTCCTCCTCCCCCTCCTCCTCCTCCTCCTCCTCCTCCTCCTCCTCCTTCCTTCTCTTCCCTCCTCCTCCGCCTGCTGCTCCTCCTGCTGCTCCTCCTGCTGCTCCTCCTGCTTTCTCCTCCTCCTGCCTCCTCGCTGCTCCTCCTCCTCCTCCTCCTCCTCCTCCTCCTCCTCCTCCTCTTTCTCATCCTCTCCTCCTCCTACCTCCTCCTCCTCCATCCTCCTCCTCCTCCTCCTCCCTCCCCTTCCTCTCCCCTCCCTCCCCCCTCCTCCTCCTCCTCCTCCTCCCTCCTCCTCCTCCTCCTCCTCCTCCTCCTCCTCCTCCTCCTCCACCCTCATCAACTCTCCTCCTCCCTCCTCCTCCTCCTCCTCCTCCTCGTCACCTCGGCCTCCTCCTCCTCCTCTCCTCCTCCTCCTCCCTCGTCCTCCCCCTTCCTCCTCCTCCTCCTCCCCTTCTCCTCCTCTCCCTCTCCTCCCTCCTCCTCCTCCTCCTCCTCCCCTCTCCTCCTCCTCCTCCTCATCCTCCTCGTCGTCTCCTCCTCTTCTCCTCACTCCTCCTTTTCCTCCTCCTCCTCCTCCCCTCCTCCTCCTCCCCTCCTCCTCCTCCTCTCCTCCTCCTCCTCCTCCTCCCTCCTCCTCCTCCTCCTCCTCCCCTCCGACTCCCTGCTCTTCCTCCCTCCTCCTCCTCGCTCCTCCTCCTCCTCCTCCTCCTCCCTCCCTTCACTTTCCTCCTCCGCCTCCTCCTCCTCCTGCTCCTGCTCCTGCTCCTGCTCCTCCTCCTCCTCCTCCTCCTCCCTCCTCCCATCTCTTCCCCCCTTCTCACCCCGCCGCCCCGTGGCGAGGCTGGCCACTCGGACAGGCTGTCGGACTACCTGCGGCGCGCCCAGAAGGGGTGGGGTGTGGGGTCAGATGCGCGGTGCGGGTGCGGCCCCGGGCGGGGTGCGGACCGAGGGTGGGATCCGCGAGGGCGCAGGGAGGGCGCCGAGAGGGCTCCTCTGCGAGCGCTCCTCTTGTTCGGTCGCATCCGCCCTCTTTAGCCGGTCGGCCGTCCAGCCACACCCTCCCTCTTCCTCCCTCCTCCCTCCCTCCCTCCTTCCATCTTTTTCCCTCCTCCTATTTCTCCCCCCCTCCCCCTCCCTCCTCCTCTGCCTCCTTCCCTGCCTCCCTCTGCTCTGTTCGCATGCCCGCATCAGCTTCGGAAGGGAGGGCGTCTCGCAGCATCTCTTGATCCGACTCGTCCCGCCATCGATCGGGGGTAGGAGAACCGGGGGGAGGGTTGGAGGTTTGAGGGTGGAGGGGAGTGATGGAGGGGTCGATGGAGGGAGGGAGTGTGGAGGAAGGAGGGGGGAACGGAGAAAGTGATTGCGCCCCCTCGGCTGCGTCCCGATGGGGCGGCAGGGATGCTCTGGGAGGCTTCGGGCGCTGAGGAATGGCTTGCGGCCCGAGGTGCCGAAGGGGCAGAATGAAGACGACGAGGAGAAGGACTAGTGCAAACCCAGGATGCGTCAATGATGATGCATTACGCCCTGCCGACCCAACTCCCCTCCCCATGTGTTCTTACAAACATTCCATGCCACTACAACGAACCCAGCGCGGCCCCAACTAGGGGTCTTCTTACAAAGCAATTCGAAGCTGTTCTGAGCAAAGTAAAGTATTGCAGTGCAGCGTGTTGCTCGGCATTCCCGCGGCATTTTCTTGGCGTTGCTTGGCACTGCCTGGAACCGTCGCGTTGTATTTTCCTGGCATTGCTTCATCATCGCTTCTTGGCGTTGCTGCGGCGCTCGTCGGCTTTGTCCTGGCATTGCTCTGCGCTGCGTCGCGGTGCTCGGCATCGCTCGGCACGGCACAGAGAGGCGAGAACTGCAATGGAACCCCGAGCGAAGAGACACCGTGCTTGCCTCCAAGGTGCCCTGGGTTTCTTGGTCTTCGATGGTTTTTGCAATGGGAAGCGTGACGTTCCCACATCAAAGTTCAGTGGACGTCTTGGGGTCTCAGGGTCTTCTCGTGGAGGGCTTCCTGTGGTCGAGCTCCTGCTGCCAGACTGGGGAGCCGAGACACGGCGGCGCGCCGGGGTGGTCCAAGCAGGGGCGGCCAGGAGCAAGGCCTGGGGGGAGCCCGGGAGAGGAGGGCGGAGGAGCCCGAGTGAGGAGGGAGGAGGAGGAGGAGGGGGAGGAGGGGGAGGAGGAGGGGCAGGAGTAGGAGGGGGGGGAGGAGGAGGAGGAGGAGGAGGAGGAGGAGGAGGAGGAGGGGGAGGAGAAGGAGCAGGAGCAGGGGCAGGAGCAGGAAATAGAGGAGGAGGGTGGAGCGTAAGCATCAGTATCAGCAGCAGGAGTCGCAGGAACATCAGGGAATGATGGGAGGCGCTTGGACTTTGACCCCGCGTTCGAGTACCTGCGCGGCTTTACCTTCTCCGAAGCCATGCTGGGCTACCTGAACCTGTACCTGCTGGTTTACCGCCCAGATGCGCGGGCACCTCCAGTACATCATTGCGCCCCCCTTCCTCCTTCTCGACGTCAATCCGTCGATAAGAGTAGGGCGCGCTTCTTACCCGAGTCCACGTCAATCCAGATTAAATCAAAGTGGTCGTCCTAGTTCTTGTCGTTGTTGTTGTCGTCGTCGCCGCCGCCGCTGCCGTCACCGCCGCCGTCGTCGCCGCCGTTGTCGTCGTCGTCGTCGTCGTCGTCGTCGTCGTCGTCGTCGTCGTCGTTGTCGTCCTCGTCCTCGTCGTCGTCGTCGTCGTCGTCGTCGTCGTCGTCGCTGTCGTCCGGCGTTCGCCCCCGCCGCTGCCTCGCCACCGCCGCCGCCGCCGCCGCACGGTGCCGCTGCCGCGGCAGGCCGCTGCGGGCCGCCGCGGGCCGCCGCGGGCCGCCGCGGGCCGCCGCCGTCGCCGCGCGGGGCGGAGCCCGGGCCGTGTCCTCTTCCTCCTCCTTCTCCTCCTTCTCCTCCTCTTCCTCCTCCTCGTCCTCCTCCTCCTCGTCCTCCTCCTCGTCCACGTCCCTCGTCCTCCTCTTCCTCCTCCTCCTCCTCCTCCTCCTCCACCTGCAACTGCTCCTGCTCCTGCTCCTGCTCCTGCTCCAGCTCCTGCTCCTCCCTCTCCTCCTCCTCCTCCTCCTCCTCCTCTTTTTTTTTGTTTGTTTGTTTTTTTATTGTTTTTTTATTGTTTGTTTTTTTGTTATTGTGTGTCTTCTTATTATTATTATTGTTTGTTTTATTGTTATTATTTGTATTGTTATCATTATGATTATCGTTATTCTTATTACTATGATTGTTGTTGTTATGAATTATTTTCCTTTTCCTCTTCTTCCTCGTCCTCCTCCTCCTCCTCCTCTCCCTCCTCTCCTCCTCCGCCTCCTCCTCCTCCTCCTTCTCCCCCTCCCCCTCCTCACCCTCCGCCTCCTCCTCCTCCTCCTCCTCCTGCTCCTCCTCCTCCTCCTCTCACTCCTCCTCCTCCTCCTCCCCCTCCCTCCTCCTTCCCCTCGTCCTCCTCGTCCTCCTCTCCCTCCTCCTCCTCCTCCTCCTTCCCCTCCTCCTCCTCGTCCTCCTCCGCCTCCTCCTCCCTCCTCCTCCTCCCCCTCCTCAACCTCCTCCTCCTCCTCCTCCTCCTCTTTCTCCTCCTCCTCCTTTTCCTCCTCCTCCTCTCCCTGCTCCTCTTCCCCCCCGTTTTCTTCTTCCTTCTCCTCCTTTTCTTCCTCTTTCTTCTCTCCTCCTCCTCCTCTTCCTCCTCCTCCTCCTCCTCCTCCTCCTCCTCCTCCTCCTTCGGCCGAGGTCGGCGCCCCCGTGGCCGTGGTGCTGGCCGTGCTGGAACACGGGCGCGTGCGCTGGCTGCAGGCGTTGGCGGTGGAGAGGCTGCCGGGCCCGGAGGCGCAGCGCCCGATTGGCGCGTGCGCGCCGCCTTCGCGCCGCGTCGTCGCCGCCGCCGCCGCCGTCGTCGCCGCCGTCGTCGCCGTCGTCGCCGCCGTCGTCGTCGTCGTCGTCGTCTTCGTCGTCGTCGTCGTCATCGTCGTCGTCGTCGTCGTCGGCGCCGGCGCCCGCGTCGGCGTCGGCGTAGGCGTCGCCGCTGTCGTCGTCGTCGTCGTCGTCGTCGTCGTCGTCGTCGTCGCCGCCGTCGTCGTCGTCGTCGTCGTCGTCGTCGTCGTCGCCGTCGCCGTCGCCGTCGCCGTCGCCGTCGCCGCCGCCAGGCCAGCAGGGCGTCTGGGTGGCTGGAACTCTATCCGAGGGCGCCTGTCGGCAAGACGCTGCCCTGCTCGGTCTCCCAGGGGGGAAGGGCGGCGCACGTGCCGGGCGCAGGGGCAGGGAGTCTAGGGGTAGTTCGGGCATGTCTTTCTACAGGAGGAGAATTCAAAAAGTAGTACAAAAATACTCGGGGGACGATTTTTCGATCATACTTCAATGTGTTTGATAATTATTGTGCAATTCTTGATTTTTCATCCCAGCTCCGCCTGGGGCGACAAGGAGGTCGAGTTGCGACTTGGGGCCGGCTGTGGGTCTGCGGTGGCCCAGCTTTTTGGTTGTGGCCAGCTGGAAGGGGGGGGCAGGTTTCAGGTTCTGGGCTCTTTGCTTCGCTCCCATCAGAGGAGGAGAAGGTGTTCATACTGTTACAGTCAATATTGGTAGTAAGGACGTGCGACTTTCCAAGGTTTCCCTTGCATCCTTTCCCTTCGGCCCATCCTTGGCCACTCTCGTTAGCCGCGCTCCGCTCGAAAAGTTTCGGCGTGGCCTTCCAAGGCCACTGCATGGTTAACCTGGAGAAGCAATACAGACCCCCCCCTCCCTCTCCGGCGAAAGTATAACGCACCTGGCCCCTCAGAGACGTTACCCTGGCACCTCGCACCTTTATGTGAACGCAGACGAGTCTGCTCGCCGAAACAAGCACACCGCCTGAGACATTATCGCAACATGTTGGCTCTTATTCGCCATTACGGCCAAGGCCTCAGTCAAGAGGCCTTGGCCCAGCTAAACATAAAACATCCTCCTCCTCCTCCTCCTCAAGACTCCCTTACGGCGCGGTACCAACACGAACAACGACAATAATGCCAGCAATAATATTTATATCTAGAACAACAAGGCCAATAACACCAACAACAACATCAACATCAAAAACACGAACAACACCACCAACACCAACAAAAACAACATTAAGTCCCACGCAAGGGAGAGCCCAGCTTTGAAAAGGAACCCTCCGTGCCTACGATGGGGGGCGAATAGTTTTGGCGGTGCGGGTGCTAAGATAATGCGCCGTGCATGGCGAGGGCGATATTCTCGGATGCACTACCCCACACGACGGCGGGGAAAAAACAATGTTTCAACAGGGGTGGTAATACAAATCGTATAGGACAAGGGTGATGAAGATAATGAGACCGAGCTTTTTTTCTTCTTCTTATTCTCATACTTATTTATTATGATTATGATTATTATTATTATTACTTATTATTATTATTTTTCCTATCATTATTCAACTTTTGAGTATTATTATTATTAGTCTGCTTATTGTTCTTTTTAGTATGAGTGTTTTGATTCGGAGTATGATTCTTATTCTTATTGGTATTATTATTCTTACTCTTATTACTCGTATTAATGATTTTCTTACTCTTACTCTTCTCTTTATTCTTATTCTTATTCCGAAATCTTTTTAGCATTATGCTTATTCCCCAATCAGAGCTTGCCTCTGTAGGGGTCCTAGCGGAGTCATTCCCCAATCAGAGCTTGCCTCTGTAGGGGTCCTAGCGGATTCATACGGTTAGGTTAGGTTTGCCGCCGATTTTCGCCGCACGCCCGGGTGCCCGGGTGCCCGGGGGTGCCCGGGTGCCCGGGGGTGCCCCGGGGTGCCCGGGGGTGCCCGGGCGCGTGCCGGGGGGTGCCCGGGGGTGCCCAGGGGTGCCTTGTGGCCTTGTAGCCTTGTAGCCCTAAGCCCTATAGCCCTATAGCCCTATAGCCCAATAGCCCTATAGCCCTATAGCCCTACAACTCTATAGCCGTACAGCTCTATAGCCCTATAGCCCAATAGCCCTATAGCCCTATAGCCCCCTAGCCCTATAGCCCTGATAGGTTTTTCTCCGGTATCATTATTCTTATTCTTATCATTATTATCAGTATTATTCGTTTTCTTGCTATGATTGTTATTATTATCATTCTTATCCGTATCCTTATCATGATTATGATTAGTATTACTATTGTTCTTACTCTTACTACGTTTATTACTATTCCTATTATCCTTGTTCTTATTATTATCCTTCTTATTGTTATTGTCATTAGTATGTTTATTATTTTCTATATTATTGTTATTCTGATTCGTAGTCTCATTCTTAGTTGTATGAATATTCTGATTATTGGTCTTATTGTACATCTTGTCTTTTTTGAGAAGCTGTCGCGATTATTTTGTGCGGGTGCGGTGCTAAGATAACCCGCCGTGCGTGGCGGGGGCGGTATCCTCGGATGCACGACCCCACACGACGGCCAGGAGAAACCAATGTTTCAACAGGGGTGGTAATACAAATCGTAATTATAGGACAAGGATGATGAAGACAATGAGAAAAACTCTGGGGCTTATTCGGATTATGATTCTTATGCTTATTATTATTGGTATTATTATTCTTATGTTTGTGATCATTATTAACAGCATTCTTATACGGATTATGATTATTATTATTATTCGTATTATTAGTCTTTTTCTTACTATTATCATTATCACTCGTATTCTACCCTTAGTATTACTCATAGTATTAATCTTGTTATTTCTTTTTATTATTGTTCTTAATACTCGTTTTTCGTTATTATTATTATTATTCTTATTCCAGTGCCAATTGGGATATCACCCGAGCCAGGGCGCGGGAATGTTTTATGTTCGTTCATTTGCGCGATGCTAACTATATCGTTCGGCGAAAACCGCCCCCCCAAAATGATTTCATAGCTTCATGAGGTTATCGTGTATTCCTACTATGAGTTTTTGACTGTACCGTTCCCTCATTTTCGCTCTTTTGGGGCTCCTGCCCTCGTCGCCACCGCTGGATTCGCCTCAAACTTCCGTTCGAAATTCTGTGCATCCTGATGCAGCCGAGCCGATCTGATTTCGACTTCGTGCCGATCCATCACGACCCGACGCACATCCCGATTCGATCCGATGTCCTCGCCCGATACTGACCGACTCGTGCTCTCGCGCGCCTGCAGCGCCCCCCGCGACACGGCGGGGGCGCGCGCGGATCTGTGGACCCTGGCCACGACTCTGGCGTTCGTCGTGTCCCTCGGCTTCTTCCACCTGGAGCTGCCCTTTGTGCGGGGCTCTGTCCGGAGGCCACATGCAACCCTACCCCACCACCCCATGATTTCTGATGGGGGAGTTGGGTTCACCTCACTCAGAACCTTCCAAGCGAAGTGAACCCCACCTTCCCCCTCAGAAAGCATGGGGCGGTGGGGTAGGGTTCGCATGTGGCCTCCTATATGTGCGCGTCCAGGGCCTCGGGGTCGCCCCCAGTCGCCTCTCTTCCTGTCTCCTGCTCGGGGCGCCCGGTTCCTACCTCCCCTCCTCCCTCTCCCTGTCCTCTCGCCTCCTCTCCTCGCCTGTCCTCTCCTCCCCTCCCCCCCCCTCCTCCAACCATCCATCCCCTCCCCTGCTCAGATCCCTCTCCTCCCTCCCCCAGTCCTTCGCCCCCCCCGCCTCCCCCCCCCCCTTTCCTGCCTCCCTTTCCACCCCCCTCCCTCCTTTCCCCCTTCCCCGCCGTCCTCCCCCTCCCGCCTCCCGCCTCCCCTGCTCCTGCCCCCCACCCCCCGCGTCTGCCCGAAGGGATGCCCAGAGCGTGCGGTCCCTGCGTCCGTGCCCCGGCTCCTTCTCTCCCCGCTCCCAGCTCCGCCCCCCGGCGGCCGCCGGAGGTCCCCGAAAGGGGCTGCTGCAGCACTTCCTGCCAGAGCATAGAGTCAAGTCGGGCCTGTCCCCCTGCAGGATCCCCTCCCCCGTCTCCACAGTGCCTCAATCTTCGAGTAGGGGACCGGCGGCAGAATCGAGGTACCCCAGAACTGACTGCGCCGTCGACCCTGCAGACATACGAAGAATGTTCTGTGGATCTGCGGAGCAGTACACGTCTTTGTCGCAGACTCGACGGAACAGTTGATTTTCGGGCAACGCAAATTTGTAGTCGATCCCCTACTCGAAATCTGAGTACCATGCTCCTCGCTCCTCCGAAAATGGCCAGGGAGTGGCCAAGCCTCGTCCGCGTATTGATTTTACGCATGATTTCATGGGCGCTCTTGGAACTTTAAATGGCCGTGCAGGCGTTTTGGTAGGGATCAGCAGTGGCCCGAGTGCCGATCCGGACCGAAGCGGCAGCGAAAATAATCGCCATGATCACGTATCTGTCATCCGTAGCCATCTCTCTCGAGATGCGGCCAGAGGAGGCTGGTTCACTTCCATTGCTTTCCTCCTGGCCGGGTAAGCCCTCCGTCCAGCCGCGCGTCTGTACGCTCCCCTTCGTGGCGGCCCGCCATCGCCCGACCCTCCGCCAGCTGCGGAGGCGCCATTGGAGCCAGAGGCGCCCGCGGCCGAGGCGAGCGCCCCTTGGCTCCAGCCCGCTCCGCCGTGCGCGGAGCTGATCGTGGAGCAGCGCGCCCCCTCCATCGAGGAGTGCGCCGCCCTGCTCCAGGAGAGCTCGGCCCGCGCTGAGCAAGCGCCGGGGCAGCGGCTGGTCGTGTTGCTCGCGGGCCCGCTGCTCGTGGAGGCGTTCGGCTGGCTGGTCGCCAGGCTCGCGCGCTGTCGGCGCGGCCGGGCTTCGGCGTCGCGCCCAGCACCTTCTGTGATGCCGGTCGGCAGCCGTGCCCCCCAGCAGCCGCGAATATCCGGCGTATTCAATTGATTGAGGGCGATGAGTTGTTCGTCGAATGCGCGGTCCAGCCTCCGCTGCTGCATGGTCGCGTTGGGGTGGGCGTCTCCCAGGTTCAGCCTGCCCGCGCCGTCGTCGTCACGCGAGACAGCGACATGTACGTGGAGGAGCTGGACGTTGGGAGCCCCGACATCAGAGCCTGGCATCGCTGGGCTCCAGGGGGCGGAGCGCCTCCTGCTGCAGCCGCGGGGGTCCCGATCTACTACTTCGTGCAGGTCCTCGCCATCGCGGACTTCTACGCGCTGCGGCCAGCCGCGCTTGGGCTCGTGACTGAGCATAACGCCAACCTGGCAGCCCTCGGACTCGCTGGCGCTGTCGTGCCTGCCTGGGTGCCGCCCGCCTAGGGGGCCGCCGCGGCGGCCGCGCCCGCGGCCTTTGCCGCGGCCGCGGGGCCACGAGGCCTGCCGCGTTGGCCCCGCCACTGGTTCCTGGCCCCCTGGGGCCGGGCCCTGTTCCCTGGGGCGTTGGTGGTGGTGCTGGCGCTGCCGGGCCCGCCCTGCAGCCTGGAGTTTCTATTCCAGGGGCCGCGGGCGCTGGCGCCGCTGCGGGCGCTGCGACCGGGCATGGAAGCCTTCGCGCTGCGCTCGCTGGTGGAGCCGGCGCCCCGCCGGCCGCCGCGGGCGACGACTTCCGCGCGCTGGCCGTCACGCACGACAAGCAGGGCAATGCGCCAGCAGACTTGGCCCGACTGGACTGTGCCTAGAACGGTCGCGGCCCCTTGGTGCGCCAATCACACTATGGAGAACGGCGGCTCGGCGGTCGGGCACCGCATTGTATTCCACTCCGCGTGCCGATTTGGGCTCGATGACCCCGCCATGCTGCCCCATTGAGAGATGTCGAAGATCTTCCCGAGCGCGGCGTGTTATGACCAGCTCGATGCCGGCAACATCGCTTCTTTCGAACTCATCTGCCGTCAGATTCAGTTGTGCGAGGACAGGCTCAAAGACGTCTTCCTCGGGTCGTCGGTCTCTGACGGCCAGCGCGACGAGAGCGATGCTTGTTCACGGGGAAGCAGGGCGCGCGCGGGACCATGGCGCGCCCAGCGCTCGCCAAGTGAATCGCGGCGCAGGTCGCGGCCGAAACGCCGCGGCCAAGGAGCGCCGCAAGGCGCGCGAGGAGGGGGTCGCCAAGCCGCCAGCTCCCGCGGGGGCGGTCGCGGCCAGGGACCGTGACCCCCTCGGCCGCTCGATTGGACCAGGTTGCTGTCCGCGCCCTGGCTGCGCGCGCGGGAGCTCCCAACGCAGGCCGTTCGTTCCCGGCCCATACTGGTTGCCGGTCGCCGGCGAAACAGTTTCCCACTCTCCACGATCGAGGCGCCCGCCAACCTGACTGACTGGCGGCTCTCGGGCAGTTCAGCGACGACGTCAGTTCAGCGCGCCGCGAGGCTCGCCGGCGATGCAATCGGGCTCGGGCGCCTTGTCCAATTCGGTGGCCCAGGGCGAGCAGCTGGGTTTCACCGCCGGGCTGCTGCAGGCGCGCGCGGAGGTGGGCTCGTTCGACCCAGTGGGCGCCAGCTTCATGCGCCCCGACCGCTGGCAGGTACGTGGCCCAGAGCTTCGCGTGGGGATCCTTCGATCGAGGGCTCGGCTTTGACTTCGGCTCTCCGGCGCTTGCTCCGGAGCCGCTCGGCTTGTGGGCGTCGGCTGCTGGTCTTCGTCGACGACCTCGGGCTTGATTTCGCAGTGGGGAAGGGGCGGTCTGGGGCCTTCCAGATCCGGGATGTCCTCCGTGAAGCATGGGCCATATATCTGGCGCGCGGGGCCAGGCAAACGGTCCGACGGGCCCCATCCAAACGCAGACCTTCAGACTGCCCCTGCCGAGGTCGCCTCCTCATCAAGCAGGCGCGGGGCGCTGGCGCCACGGTGGCTGCCGCTGGTGCCGCGGCTGCTGGCGGCGACGCCCGTCCTCTGCCGGCCGCCCCGCCATCGGCGAGGGCGGGGCCGCTCTCGGAGCGGGCCCTGGTGCCGGGCGCCCGCGCGCGGCAAGCGGCCGGGGCGGGCCGCGAGACCCGTCGGGGGCCGGGCGGCGGCGCGCCCGCGGTGCCCGCCGCTGCCTCCGTCGCCTCTCGCCCTCCCGACTCTGTGCCGGCCGACCTGCTTGGAGGGGCGGTCGGCGACGCCGGCGACGTGCAGGGGCTGCCGCCGCTGGGCCTTGCAAGTCCTTCGTTCGGCGGGCCTCGGCGACGCGCCGGGCGCGTGGGAACTGCTAGCCGCTGGACCTCCGCTTTGCGCCGTTCCTGGACTAGCTGTTTTTCGGGGGCTTCGCGAGCGACGACGCGGGCAAGCTGGTCGCCGCGGTGAAGTTCTTCTGCCCGGACCTTGGCGGCTGGGGCGCCAGGGCGCCCCCGCGTGCGTCGTGGGCCCTGGCGGGGCGGGGCAGGGCGGCGCCGCGCCGCTCGCGGATGCCGCTGCCCCGGGCGCTGCGGGCGGCGATCGCGAGCGTCCTGCTGCGCTGGGGCTGGCGGGGCGCGCAGTGGCGCCTGGCGAGTGCGACTCGCTCGCGTCGCTCCATTCTGTCGCCCCCGTCGAGGTGGCCGGAGGGGCCGCGGGCAGCTGGGGCCTGTTGCTGGCGCCCGCGGAGCTGGGCAGCCCCGGCAAAACCAACGGCTGGGGCGACGCGGTCTCTTGGATTCGATCCCGCGCTCGCGCCCCCGAGCGCCTCCTGGCCGCGAAGCGCCGCGGGGTGGCGCCGAGAACGGCATCTGGCGTTGCCCGCCCAGGGGCCTCTCGATCAAGTTGTCTGCGGCTGCTTCGGGGCTCCATCCGGCACGCTCGGGGATCGCGCTCTACGAGCTTCGCCGTGGAGGCGTGTCTCGCGACGTCCTCCGCCGCCTGCGGGCCCCGATGGAGGCGAAGCTCAGGGCCCGGGGGGTCTCGGACTCGACCCCGAGGAGGTGCGCCGAGCAGACGAGCGTGATCGCGGAGCTGGGCAGCTCGCCTCCGGCGGCGGCGGCGTTCGGCAGCCGCGTCTCGGGCCTGTTCGCCGACGCCTTCGCCGGCGCGGCGCTGCCGAGCCCGCCCGGGCGGCGGCGCGCCCAGGGGGCGCCGAGGGCAAGCTGACCGACCGGCGGGTAGTCGCCGGCATGCGCTCCCCGCTCCGTGACGCGCGCTCGGCGGCATCTCGAGTCGGCAGCGGGGCCTGGGGAACGAGGAGGATGGGGGCCCCCCCTCCTGACTTTTGTCGGTCTTACCGCCAAGGGCCTTTAACGGCTTGGGCGTTTTTGGCATGCCTCATTCATTCATTCGAGACCTGAGCAGGCGGGCATCTGCGCGGGGAGCGCCTGATGGGCGAATTCGAAAACGCAGCGAGGGCACAGCGTGCGATTGATGGTGAGCAGCGCGTCCGCGTGCCAGAGCCAATGCACGCAGCGTTTGGGGTCGCGTCTACGAAAATGGGAACC